GAGGATGCCGAGCAGGCACGTCTGCTGGCCGTGGAACAACAGCGCCAGCACGACGAGGCAGCAGCAAGGGCTGCCGATGAAGAAAGAACACAGCGTCGTGAGAAGATATTCACCGGAGAGCGGGCATTACTTACCATGGCAGCAGAATGGCGAAGCRAGGCCGAGAATAGCCAGTTGGAGGATAGCACAAACAAGATAGCGCTCCTCCTCTCGCATCTCACGGATCTCCTGGCAACCTGCATTACACAGCAGGCGGAGATCCTTGCTCTCGACAACTCGGTAGCTCATCTCCAAGACCGCCTTCAGCGAGCAGCGACCAATCGCCGCCGCCGATGCAGGCTCTTCCAACGCTGCCGACCGCCTCACCGCATTGGAGATGCGCGTCGGCTCCCTCCAGGATGGCGCACAGTTACAGCAGACCGCGACGCAACAATTGCAGCAGTGGATCCGCACTACCGCCACTACCTCGAGTCCGGAGCCGCGCGAGACAGCTCCTAAGTTCGATGGGCAGGAGATCTTCCACGACTCAATCAAGACAGATCCAATTCYRTGGTTTYGYAAGTTCGAGCTCACGCTGCAGCTCCAYAACGTCAAGGAAAACAAGCACCACGCTTACTTGTACTCTCGCTCAGGGGGCGCGTGTCAGGCGTGGTTGGACAACTTGTTGTCCAAGTACGGAGTGGTAGCAGCGGACTTGCACACCATGATCAGCTGGGATGATTTGAAGGCGGCGTGGCACAAGCGGTTCCAGGTGGAGCCGCCAGAGATCAAAGCCATGGACAAGCTTATGGTCTTCGAGCAAGGCTCGCTGCCGAGTACGGACTGGATCGCCGAGTACCAACGCTTGACGTCAGTCCCAGACATCCAGATGGGCTTCAAGGCCATCCGCCACTATTTCATCTCAAGGTCATGTCCGGCATTGAGCAATGCCCTGACGCATGTTGAGGACACCTTGACGACGACGGCGGAATTATTCGACAAGGTTGCGCAGATCATCGTTACGAACAAGGAGGCCCAAAACCTCCGTTCATCTGCGTTAGGCCCGAGCGGGAACCAGCATCGGCCACGAGTGGCCGTGGTCGCAGCGGCAGCGCCGTTAGACCAATCCAGCGAGGCTGCGTCTGCCAATGAAGGAGACAGATTCGCAGCCGCCCGGGAAGGTGGCCGCCCCGGCAGAGGCCGAGGTCGCGGCAAGCCGAAGACACACACCGTTTCTAGCCCCGGGCCCGGTGCAGCAGCTCAGATAGGCCCATGGACCCCGTACGGCATCTCCGAGTTCGCCTACAAGGCGCGCGAGAGATTCCATTATTGCCTGTAGTGCAACAACGATCTTCATCTGACGCCGGTTTGCCCACTGAAGGGCAAGGGTCGACAGGGAAACTGAGCACCGCCGAGAGTGATGCGACGACACTCTCGACGCCTTCGGAACTGGTTTCTTCGCGAGTGACCAGCCTTCATTTCGAGGCGCACGCGGAAGTCGACAGTCCTCCGCTTCTACTTTCTTTTGAGGACTATGCTGCCCGGCTCGTTCCAACGCTGGGTACTCAAGCTCAAGGACAAGGAGTGTGTGCGGTTTCTTCTCCGTCCGGCAACAACGACAGATCGTCTTCAAGTGGTTCGTCACGGGATTCGGCGCGCGAGTTCAATGTAGAGGCATTGGACCCGCTCACGTCTGAGGACTTCGCATGGCTTCCTCTCCCCACCACAGGCTGTTTGCCAGGACCGCAATGCGCAGCACTTAGCGCTCATCTCCACACTTACCTTTCCTTCTATGCACCACCAACTTCGCCGACGGATGATGAAGTCGCGGTGGGGGACATCCTGGCATATACTACCAAGGTGGCCCGCGAGTTTCACACGCAGCGGTACGATAACAACAACGCACCGCTCATGTATGTCCGCATCCAGGTTGGACAGGCGTCCTGCAACGCTCTGTTGGATAGCGGCGCGACTCGCAACTTCATGAGCCAGTCTTTTATGCAAAAAGCTGGCCTTGGCGCACAAGTTCGGAGAAAGGCAAACCCAACGGTGATCAAGTTGGCGGATGGTAAGACACAACAACTTCTCGACCGTTACATCGAGGCCGTACCGGTCTACTTCGCACCTCATGCATGGGAACCGGTGACATTCGATATTCTCGACACGGACTTCGACATCATTCTGGGAATGCCTTGGCTTGCAAGTGCGGATCACACGGTCAACTTCCATCGGCGGACTCTTAGCGTTCRCAACGCCTTCRGSGYSGAAGTGGCGTGTACGATTCCTCTACCGCACTCTTCGATCCGGTGCCAAGTGGTAACAGCCAAATCATTCCGGGCGACTTGTGCTTACGAGCAGCCCGAGGAGATCGGCATATGTTTCCTACGGACCGTCGCGGTAGCCGACTCTTCACCCACGGACTTGTCTTCGGACCCCCGTGTGGTACGGTTGTTGGACGAGTTCGCCGACATCTTCGAGTCACCTGCCGGTGTGGTGCCGGGTCGACCGATCTCTCACGAGATCATTCTTGAGGCCGGTGCCGTGCCGCCGAAAGGTTGCATCTATCGAATGAGCGAGGAGGAGCTTGAGGTACTCCGCGCACAACTCGATGATTTGTTGCCCAAGGGCTGGATCCGCCCGAGTAGCTCCCCATATGGAGCACCAGTTCTCTTCGTCAGGAAGAAGAACAAGGATCTACGATTGTGCATCGACTACCGCAAACTCAACGCGCAAACCGTCAAGAATGCGGGGCCTCTTCCTCGCATCGACGATCTTCTCGAGCGGCTGGGCGGTGCGAAGTATTTTTCCAAGCTCGATTTGAAATCAGGATATCATCAAATCTCGATTCAAACGAATGATCGCTACAAAACCGCATTCAAGACGCGGTACGGACATTTTGAGTGGGTGGTCATGCCTTTTGGCCTCACCAACGCCCCAGCGACATTCCAGGCGGCGATGATCAATGAGTTCCGTGCAATGTTGGACCGGTTCGTGCTGGTCTACTTAGACGATATTCTCGTCTACAGCCGGATATTGGAGGATCATCTTGGACATCTTCGACGAGTGTTGGAGACGCTCCGCCGTGCCAAGTACAAGGCCAACCGCGACAAGTGCGAATTTGTTCGGCAAGAGCTGGAATACTTGGGCCATTTTGTCACACCRGAGGGCATCAGTCCGYTATCGGACAAGATTCAGGCCGTCCAAGAGTGGCCGGAGCCTCGGAACGTCACGGATGTCCGCTCGTTCCTCGGTCTTACCGGCTACTATCAGCGCTTCATCAAAGGCTACTNCGGATGTCCGCTCGTTCCTCGGTCTTACCGGCTACTATCAGCGCTTCATCAAAGGCTACTCCAAGATCGCGGCCCACTTGAACAAGCTTCAGTGCGAGGATCGGCCGTTTGACTTTGGAGAGGAGGCGCGGGGATCATTCCTCGCTCTCAAAGCCGCGCTATTGTCTGCAGAGGTCTTGCGGATATACGACCCGCTCGCGCCTACGCGTGTCACTACGGATGCGTCAGGCTATGGCATTGGTGCAGTCCTCGAGCAACATGATGGTGTGGACTGGCAACCGGTCGAGTACTTCAGCAAGAAAGTGCCACTCGTGCATTCCATTGACGATGCACGTAAGAAGGAGCTCCTCGCCTTCGTCCACGCGCTCAAGCGGTGGCGGCACTTCCTCCTTGGTCGAAGCCAATTTCGCTGGGTGACGGACAACAATCTGTTGGTCTTCTACAAGACCCTCTACAAGACCCAAGACACCGTCAACACCATCGCTCGATGGATGGCTTTCATCGACCAGTTCGACTTCTTTCCCGATCACATTCCCGGGAAGTCGAACCGTTTTGCGGATGCTCTTTCACGGCGTCCGAATCATTGTACCGCGGTCTACTCAATCTTCAAGATCGATGACGACCTGCGGAACAGTTTCATCCACGGCTACCAAGCCGACCCCGAGTTTCGTGACAAGTACGCGAATTGCTCCTCTCCTACTCCAGCTTCTTCTCACTACCGGATCCAAGAGGGGTACTTGCTTGTCCACACGCGGGGGAAGGACCTTCTTTGCGTACCAAGTGATCCTCACTTGCGTACACGGCTTCTTGGCGAGTTCCACGATGCTCCCGCCACCGGACACTTTGGAGTCGATCGCACGATTGGCCGACTTCGCCAACGATTTTGGTGGCCCGGCCTTCTCGACGACGTTACGCGCTATTGCGAGTCATGCGAGGTTTGCCGACGCTGCAAATCCCGCAACCATCGTCCGTACGGCGAGTTACGACCATTCCCAGTCCCGTTGAGGCGAAGGGAAGCGATTGCCATGGACATTACCGGCCCGTTCCCCAAGCACAAGACCGGAGTGGATGGGATTCTTACGGTGGTCAACCGACTCACCAAGTTCGCCATGTTTTTGCCTTGTCGCTATCCTGCCAAGGCACCGGAGTTGGCCGAGGTTCTCTACGCCGGTTGGATTCGAACCAAGGGTTACCCCAAGGAAATCGTCTGCGATTGCGACACTCGGTTCATGTCCGATTTTTGGTTGGCACTCATCAAGCGATCGGGCTCATCTCTCAAGCCCAGATCAGCTCGCCACCCTCAGACCGATGGCCAGACGGAGAGGGCGCATCAGACCGCACAGGTTCTCCTTCGCACTCTCATCCGCCCCGACCAGAAGGACTGTGTTGAGCGGCTGCCGGATGTCAAGTTGGCCTACAACTCATCTATCCACCCGGCTATCGGGATGTCGCCCTTTGAGTTTGAGCACGGCTCGCCGGTCACTTCACCGTTGGACACTATTACTCCACGAACGGTCAAGAGCGACGAGCATCTTCTTTTCTTGCGTCGGATGCAAGAGCTTCTTGTCAAGGCACGCGATCAGATGACTAAGACGCAGCAGCGCATGAGCCAACAGGCCAATCGCCAGCGTCTTCCTTGCCCATTCCGCGCAGGCGACCTTGTTTGGGTTTCCGCAGCGGAATTCAGCCTTGAACAAGACATCTCTCGCAAGCTCCTCCCGAAATGGATGGGGCCTTGGCCGATTGTAGCGCCCGCTGGGGACGCACCCGAGGGACCTTCCTTCACGATTCAGCTGCCTGGCCACTTGCCGGTCTACCCAGTCTTTCATTGCTCCAAGTTGGCTCTTTACACGCCAGCGGAACATGACGATTTTCCCGGGAGACGTACACAAGACCCACCTTCTATGGACGGTTTTCAGGAGGTCGGCGACATCATCTCCCAGCGACGCTACGGCAACAAGCCAACTGAGKATTTGGTGCACTTTGCATACTGCACACACCGAGCTGACCGTTGGTTAACCCGTGCGGAACTTCAAGCMACARCTCCAGACGTTCTCGCACGCTATGAACGCAAGATGCAAGGCAAGCCGGTTTCTTCGGTTCCACGCCGCGCCCGCATCCAGGTTCCACCTTCAGATCGTCGGCTTCGCCCTCGCCCTGGCTTGACTTCATAAGGAGGGGGGGGTGTTACATGCTGCGCCTGCACACGCAGGCCATTTTCCAAGCCCTGCGCCCTTCAGCCAAAAAGCCTAGAATTCAGCCTGAAAACAGGGGCCCACAGTCCCTATGTCGTTTCAAACTAAAAATGGCAAGAGCCTTTTTAGCCTGAAACGAAGGGCTATTTTCGGTCGTTCACCAGAACGACCGGCCCTGAAACTCAGGCACCAAACCAGGGTTTCGGGAACAGGCTATGCTTTCCACGCCAGCCTCAGCAGATGCTGCAGCGCCAGCCCCTGGCACACTTCGGCATTGGCAAGARCAGCCTCCTCGGCCTGGCTGGCCCTTCAGGSAGTCARGAGGCAGGCCGTGCATTGGCAAGAGCAGCCTCCTCGGCCTGGGTGGCCCTTCAGGCAGTCAGGAGGCAGGCTGTGGATTGGCAAGAGCAGCCTCCTCGGCCTGGCTGGCCCGTAGGAGGCAGGCCGTGGAAGTATATAGGTACCCCCCCAGGCACTTCACGATTCATTCAGGAGTTGTAGTCTTCAGGATTCAGGAGCAGCACTCTGGAGGGAGCACTGCAGTGTAGTAGTAGTAGCATTAGCTTGTAGTCTTCAGCGCTGGGCGCAGTAGGTAGCTGTAGTCTCCAGCGCTGGGCGCCATAGCTAGGTAGTACTAGAGAGAGAGATAGAGAGCTTGGGCGGAGGCCAGAGGTACCTACCTGCAGCGCCGTTGCTCCAGCTTCGTCTTCGAGGTACCTGCGGCACAGCGCCAACATCACAGGTTAGTATCTGGTTCGTAACAGAGAAAGAGAGAGAGTTCTTCTTCTTCCTCTTCTCAGTCCACCATCTCTTCTCTTCCTCTCAGCTTCTGACTTCACTGCATCTGCAGACTATGAGAGAAGATATATAGAGCTTGGTGACATTTGATCCAGACTCGACACTATCTCCCTCCTTACGTCTGATCCTTATCTCTTCGTCTGTGTACGTCTGGACCTGGCGCTTTCTTCCTGTGTACAGCGCCAGGCTCCTTCACACTTGGTGATGGATATCATGCATGTTTAGTCTGAGTTCAAACATTGATTGGGCTAGTTAGTACTACTCTAGCATTCTGTTTCGCTACTCTGAACTACGTGAATGAGGTCAGTCCTGTCAGGTCAGTCTTCGTATCAAAGTCTTCCCTGCGCTATTCAGCACCTTTTGTATGTATGAGAATGTACATTGTCTGTTGAGATTCTACTCGCACTGTATTGTCCAGTCAGTCCCCCCCACCACACTGCAGTTCCTCGGTTATCACGTACATTGCATATCTGTGCATGTAACACCAACACAGTATCCAAAGTCCCTCTCCTGTCTGGTGCTCGGCGCCCAGCCTACTCCACCTGACTAGCCTACCTACAGCCGGTTCACGCAACAGGATCACTTCGACTCTCGAAGACCAATGTACATGACTGCCAACACCATCACCGACCTCTCTTCATGTACCAGGTCACCCTCAATCAGACCTTGATTACCGCACACAGCGCCTCCTTCCCTGAAGACCACCTGATCATCCGCTGTACCCCCTAGCGCCCAGCAGCCCGGCTATGGCTGCCTGCGCTCCGCTGCCCTGCAGCGCCCCACTTCACCTCTCGCGCCCCGTCAGCGCCCTTGGCAGCAGCGCAGCATCAAGCAAGAGCGCAGCAGCACTTCCGCATTGCCAGCGCTGGCCAGAGTACCTGGCCTGGGCTGCTTCCTTCCTTTTGTGGAAGTGGCAACCTCCTGGATGCTGCGTGTGGCCTGGCTGGAAGCTTCCAGTAGCTTCCGGTTGGGTCCCAGACCCTGCGCCCAGGCCCGAGACTACAGTTGAGGGCCTGGGCCCTTTGCAGTTAGGCACGGCCTGAGTCTCCGGACTTGGGCTGTTTGCTGCATCTGTGCAGGGCTCCCAGGCAGGTGTGTTGGCACTACTGTTTCTGCCAAGGCTGAAGCCCTGCTTCCCAATGTATCGGCCCTGCTTTGTGTATGTGTGCCCAGGCGCAACTGTCAAGGCCTGGGCCAACTGTATGACGCAGCAATGTGAGGCTCACGCGTCTTCCCAACCAACTGGCGTGCTGCGAGAGCCTGAATACCTACATANAGACCTTGATTACCCCACACAGCGCCTCCTTCCCTGAAGACCACCTGATCATCCGCTGTACCCCCTGGCGCCCAGCAGCCCGGCTATGGCTGCCTACGCCCCGCTGCCCTGCAGCGGCCCCCTACACCTCTCGCGCCCCGTCAGCGCCCCTGGCAGCAGCACAGCATCAAGCGAGAGTGCAGCAGCACTTCCGCATTGCCAGCGCTGGCCAGGATGTCTGGCCTGGGCTGCCTCATTCCTTTTGTGGAAGTGGCAGCCTCCTGGATGCTGCGTGTGGCCTGGCTGGAAGCTTCCGGTAGCTTCCGGTTGGGTCCCAGACCCTGCGCCCAGGCCTGAGACTACAGTTGAGGGCCTGGGCCCTTTGCAGTTAGGCACGGCCTGAGTCTTCGGACTTGGGCTGTTTGCTGCATCTGAGCAGGGCTCCCAGGCAGGTGCGTTGGCACTACTGCTTTTGCAAAGGCCGAAGGCCTGCTTCCCAATGTATCGGCCCTGCTGTGTGTATGTGTGCCCAGGCTCAACGGTCAAGGCCTGGGCCAACTGTATGACGCAGCAATGTGAGGCTCACGCGTCTTCCCAACCAACTGGCGTGCTGCGAGAGCCTGAATACCTACATATGGAATTGTCGAATTTTGCCTGTGACGAATATTGAGGCCCGCCTTCACTTAGGGCGGGCAGTTGGCTTAGTGGGGGCCTTAGCCCAGAACAATGTGATGTCTGATAGGGCCCCTTGAGGGCTTGTTCCTCACAGAAGTGGTGACTAACAGGTATCCGAACCTATCCCAGCGTACAAGACTAATCAGCGGGTGACCAAACCCGATCAGGAATTATTAGGAGTCGCAACAACACAACTTCCATCGAAGACCCATCAGGAGTTATTTAGAGCGGTACCCAGGACGGCTTCCTGTCCTAGGCCACTCTGTTTGACTGTCTCTATAGCGCTGCTGAACCTCGTGTGATCTGTGCGAGCATGCGAGCTCTAGTCCCACATCATGTGCTTCGTCCACCCAGGGCATTTTCCCATGCACCGCCCTTGTCCCACAAGATGCACCCAGGTTGACTTTCACAGTAGCGCGCTCTCCCAACACACAATGAGATGACTCTCAAGCAAAAATGCTCTTCCTCGTGGTAAGAAAAATAGAGGGTAGATAAGGTTAGTGATACGTACCATATGCTGCCCCCAACCACGGATTATCTCACCATCTATTAGGATGTGTCGTTCGGTGACCGGTCGATGCGCAGGATCCACCGACAATACAATGCCAGTACCGCCTAAAGCAGTGGCAAAGGCCACTATACTCTCACCGCAGTGCCACATATCTCGTTCGGATTCCACCCATGCGTTCTCTACCCAACGCATGAGCTGGTCCTGCTAGCGAGAAAGTCAATCACACTGCCTGCACTATATCACCTGACCCGGCAGCCAAAATCTCAGCAGAGGAATTTCCAATGGTCCAAGTGAGGCCAAATTTGGCACACAGCAACCTTGAACCAAAACAAAAACAGGCTAAAAAAAAAAAAATTAAAACATAAAATTTTAAATTCGACCCCCAAACCCTAATCTCAGTTTTGGACCCGTTAACTATGGAGCTGAAAGTGGGGGTCCCCGTTATCCACTTGTGGAGCGAGGATGGCGCGTGTCAATGAACGTGCTCCGGTACCAAAATGTAAGGAACCATACACGAGTACCACTAGCACTGCAGGGGGTGTTCGTAAAAAAAAAAAAAAAAAAAAAAAGTTTAGAGAACACCATTTTTCCAAGATGCAAAGCAAAAGCTCATAGAAGAACAACCATGTTTAAGCCAAGTTGAAAGCAGAATACCAAAGCCAAGAGCACACCCAGTATGACCAAACAGAACACCGAACTCTCTTGTTGAAGAAAGCCCCACTTCTCGCCTCCAATATAATCGACACAATATCGATCTAGCAGCCCTACTGTGATGTGTCCACATTACTCTACTTCGTACTAACTCTACACACGCTAATCTACTACCTCTCTCCCTCCCTGTCCACTTGTCACTTGTTGGATCCTGCTCAAAGACTCTGTTCACGCAGCCTTCCTCCGCCAGCAAGCACCAGGTAAGGCCCGCCATTTCCCAGTCTCCTGACCACTCTACACTTCGCCACGCTTCTTCCCTGCTTAGCAGTGCTCAGCTATGGTGGGCGCTAGCCCCCGCAGTCACTGCAGCTGCCTTCTGCTGGGGTACTCTTTGACCACAATGCGCTGCCGAGCTCTCCCGCAAGCTGCCAAATGCCTGACATGTCCTTTCCGCAGCGTCCTCCCCCCTTTTGTCTGTTCTGTACACCACGGTCTGCTCACAGTAGGCAGTGCCTGCATTGTGACAACAGGTTAGGGTTAGATGTTTGCCTGACAAGCCGTGAGATTGTGTGTCCAATTTTTGGATTGGACATGCCTGTGCTGTCACACAGTAACTGCCATAGAGGTTACACTACGGTTGCGTGGCTGTGTTGTGGGATGAGTGTGGTTGGGTACACCGCGTCTTGGAGCACCCGTGCTGGGGTGGGGTGAACGTACTCATCATCTTGGGACCTCACTTTCACCTGACCTCACTTTCACCCCAGCCCACTTAGCCTTATGGTTAGGTGTTTGGCTGACAAGCCATGAGATTGTATCTCGATTTTTGGATTGGCACAAAGCACAGGAGGTTACTCCCTGTGCTTTGTGCCAAAGCCACCAGGCAAGGGAAGGCCATTGAAGCCACAAATGCAGTACTGAGTGGCATTCAG